CCAAGTGCAGCACCCTGCACTTGTCCATATTGAAACACATCCTGTTTTTGTTAGCCCACCCCTGCAACCTATCCAGGTCTTGCTGCGGTCTTTCCCTCCCCGCTAACGTGCCCACCTCACCCCAAATTTTGGTATCATCAGCAAATTTGAACAGGTTGCTTTTCACCCCGTCGTCCAAATTGCTGATAAAGAAATTGAACAGTGCGGGCCCAAGGACTGAGCCCTGGGGGACTCCGTTGCCCACTTCTCTCCTGGCTGAATATGACCCGTCCACCACCACCCTCTGAGTACGACCCTTCAGCCAATTCGCAACCCATCTGACTGTGTAGGCTTCTCGTCAGTGCAGAGACAGAAAAGGACCTTGGAGTCATTACTGATGCCAAAATGAACATGGGCCGACAGCGTGGGGACTCGGTCAGGAAGGCCAACCGCACCTTGTCATGCATCCACAGATGCATCTCAAGCAGGTCCAAGGAGGTGATCCTCCCCCTCTATGCGGCAGTGCATCCAGTTCTAGGCACTGCACTTCAGGAGAGATGTGGACAACTTGAAGCGGGTCCAGAGGAGGGCCACCCGCATGATCAGGGGGCAGCAGGGCAGGCCCTACGAGGAGAGGTGACAGGACCTGAACCTGTTCAACCTCCACAAGAGAAGGCTGAGGGGGGATCTAGTAGCCGTTAATAAACTAGTCAGGGGGGACCAGCAGGCATTGGGGGAGTCCCTGTTCCCCCGAGCACTCCCAGGAGTGACTAGAAATACTGGTCACAAGCTGGCAGAGGGTAGATTCAGACTAGACATCAGGAGGCGCTACTGCACTGTCAGGGCGGCTAGGATCTGGAACCAACTTCCAAGTGAAGTGATGCTGGCTCCTACCCTGGGGGTGTTTAAGAGGAGGTTAGACGAACACCTCGCTGGGGTCGTTTGACCCTAGTACTTTTTCCTGCCATGGCAGGGGGTCAGACTTGATGATGTGCTCAGGTCCCTTCCAACCCTACCAGCTATGAAACTATGAGCACCTCTGAGCTCCCACCATGGGAGGGAGAACTGGAGACTCAGGCTCAGGGGCCAGGCATTAAGGGCTCCCCACATACCCGTGTTTTGACATCAAGCAAAACCTCGCACCGGGGACCAGCAGCATCTTGATGTTCACAGAAATTGGCTTCGGCAAACGACACACCACTCCTCCTGGCGCTGGCGGAAGGCATCCGGGAATTCCCTAGACACGTGGGACGACTTGCGAAGAGGCATGGTGTCCCCATCATGGAGACCCCCGGACAGGGGCAGACCCCGAGCACTGCCAGAAGGGAGGGGCAAATTCTCCTCTCCAATGAGGGTCTCACTTGGTGGGTGAGGGTATGAGAGAGAAGCCTACAAGAGGCAACCAGGGAAGAGAAGCAGGTAGAGTACCAATAGGGTCAAGCGTCTGAAGTGGCAGGACTCCTCCCTGCAGATGAGATTTAACAGAGCATCCCAAAGTCCCCCTCTTATGCCTCAGCTGTACAGCCGCTGGCTGAAATGCTGCCGAAAGAGAAAGGAGCCATCTGCATACATGGCTAAGCGTGGCATTCACCCAAGTCTTGGCGGCCGGAGAGGAAGCGATATTCCTCCATCTCCCTGCTGCGCTCCTCTGCTAATTATTCAGATGCTTGTACAGCATCAACCCCACAATGGAAAAGAAGGCAACGGCCATGGCTAGCCCCAAATAGGGAGAGGCATCCTCGGCACCGTCTCCTCTTGGCTGGCTCGCATTGTGGCCCGAATCTCTCGGAGGTGCCATGGGATTCCAAGGACCATTGGGCTGCATGCTACTGCCCGCCTCGCGGCTAGGACGTCCCCCAGACAGGTCAGGAGGGGCCAACGGCAGGGTCCTGCAGATGCTGTCCCCACCCCTGGGGTCGACGGCATTCCCCAGCTCAAAGCTAGGATCACTGGTCAGGTGGATCTCGTGAGTTCTCACATTGGCGGCGTCCCAGCTGCTGCTCACCGACTGATAGAGGCTTTGGTCAGTCTGGGGAACCTCATCTTTCTCAGGGCCACTGACAGCTGCCGAAGGCAGTTGGCGTGGCTTTGAGAAGGACGAAGAACGGCTTTCTTCTGGCTGAAGGTTGCAGGCGCCTCCAGGGTCAGAGCTGACCGTGCTCAAGCTGCTCATCATGATGGGGTCACTGAGGAGAAAGCGGTCTGACCTCCCAGAATACTCGGGGTCTGTGTCTCGCGAGCCAGGCTGCCGGCGTGCTGGCTGCTCCGGGAGCTCGCTCAGGGTAGAGCAAAGCGTGCCTGGCTTGCTGAGCTGCTCTTCCTCCCTGCTGGAAAGCACCTGGTAGCTCCTAGAGATGTCTGGCACGGTGTTTCTGGTCATGTCAGCTGGGTTCTGTGGCCTGGCGTTTCTCATGCTCCCAGAGATCTCTGGCTTGGCTTGATTCACGTCTGAAGGAGAGGGCTGTGGGGTTTGAACCACCTGCAAGGGACAGCAACAAAGGGGATCGTTCAGATCACAAATCAAAGTGCCGCCTGGTGAGTGCCCACAGCTTCTGCACTCAAACCATACTGCAAGAGGCTAAGCAGCTCAGGTCATGCAGCTCAGCCCATGCAGCTAAGAAACGGGTCTTCTGCAGTACCCGGCCTAGGAGGATGGGACACAGCCAGTGCTGCATTGCTGGAAGGATGGCGAGCAAAAATGGAGAGGAGATTATCAGGGCTCTGACGAAGCCTGCGGGATGGGGACAGACCAAGACAAGAGCAACTGAAATGATCCAGATGCCGAAGGGACGACTGACAAGGAAAAGCGAGAACAGCTATGAAGCAGCTTGACAGCTGACTGGGGGCTGGTACTGCCTAGTCACACCTGGGGCTCCAGTGGGGACTGAGGGAGCTGGTACCAGCACTGGCAAACAATAACCACTGGGTCAGGAAGGGGATTTAGTGCAATGCAGCTGAACATAACCAGGAGCACCAGGATTAAGAGGGGGCATTTCAGGCTGCATAGCAGGGAAAGCTTCCTCTGAGTGACAGCTACCAGGCTGTGGAAGGACCCTGAGGAAGCCAGAAGCCCCACCACTCTGGACACTAAGAGCAGCAGAGCACGCTCGGCAGGATGTTGCAGGGATCACCCCTCTGCCAAAGAGCAGACAAACTAACTGATCTACCCGACGAGCCTTTCCTACCCGTGGGGTCTGATCCAAAGTCCTCTGGAGTCTGAACAGGAAACTTCCCATTGACTCAAGTACGCGTTGGACCAGGCCCCTAATGCGAGGAAGCCCGATTCTCCCAGCAGGATTTCAGTCAGCTGCACAGATGTCTCCATAATACTCATTAGCCCAAGGGCCTCTTTAAAATGCGCATGACAAAATGCCAGGGCAGAGCAGAAGACAGACCGCCCCCCTCAAAACAAGCCACCTACTTCAAGTCTGAAACTTCAGGAGAAAAGGTTGAGGACTGGGAGGATCTGGCTGAATGGGGAAGCATCAGGCAGAGATGTCACTATCCACAGCATCCATCCTCATCGAGGCTAAAAACCTAGAGAGCAAGCCAGGTGGATGCTCCACACGCAGGAGACAACCTACCTCCTTCTGTGGCAGCACAGAGAAGTTGCTGCTGCTCTTCCCCTCATCTGGCAATTTGGTCTCTTGGATCGGAGTCTTCATCTTATCCAGGGAGCTGTCGCAGGCCAAGCGCGCTGAGCCCGAGGACAACAACGGTGAGCGAGCTACAGAAGAGGGGAAGCTGATGGCATCTGGAGACTCCCCAGCAAGACCAGAATTAGAGAGGTGCAGAAGCTTGGTTGTGCTGGGCGGGCCAGCAAAGGGCTGGGATTTGGCTAGAGGAGCATTACTGGGGACAGGAGTAGAAGCCACTTGCTGGGGGGCAGCTGCAAGAGCAGGGGCGGCGGCGTGATGCTGAAGGTCTGGGTAGAGACAAAGCACAAGATTCATTACTGGGGGAGAGGTCTCCGAGGAAGGGGTGCTCCGAATTCCCCCAACATGAACACTAGGTTAGTCTGGACAACCCTCAGGGTCTCTCCAGCCCCACAGTGCTAGGGAAGCCCCTATTTGAGGGTACACATCCAGGGCAGGAGCAAATTCTCTCTTACTGGGCTCCTCTCTGCTTATGAAGTCCCACTTCTTAGGTTTCTCATACACCACTAAGCAGCAGGAGGCTGCTCCAGATATAAGGAAGAACAGGAGAAAAGTCATAAGGAAGGGTAACACCGAAAGGGTTAGAGAACCAATGCAGACCTGCTTTTCTGCATGCTGGGCAAACTAGAGGGATGGGGGGGATGCTGCTGTTTGAGCCAAAACAAAATGTTTCATTTTGTTATACAGAGAGGGCAGGGGTTTTGCTTTAAAAATACATATACACCAGTATATATGTATTAATTTAGGTAAATTTTGTAAAGAAAAACAGGGCATTTCAAGACAAAACTAACCCCCAAGCACTCCATTTCAAAACTATCAGTATGAAGCGCTTCCACTCTTCCACCCTATATTTGGAATTTGGGGCCGACATAATTCAACCCAACATCATGCAGTTCAACCCCATCTTAGCTCATAAAACATTTGAGCAAAAAATGTCACCCAGGTCTACTTGTGATAGGAAGTACAGGGTGATGGGGGCACAAGCAAAAGCTCCATGAAGCCAGTGGATAGCCACCCTGCACTGACTTGAAGGAGTTCTGGGTCAAGCCCCATGATCTCAGAGGGGAATAACATCTCTGCTATCCATGATCTCCAAGCAAGGCTTGACCCCTTGGCCTGGAACCTGGGACAGGCCTGGATGGGCCAGGGAGCACCAAGGCAGGACAGCTCACCTCACAGGCTGTCTGACCATCCACTGGCCCTGCCCTGGGGTCTTCTGGGCATCCTGCTAAATGCACAGCTCAGCAGGAGCCAAGACCATGTCAGGGTCCTGCCCTGGGAGGTGCCTAGTGCTGGGGATTCAAAGCAGCTGGTTCTGCACATGACAATGCTACAATAGTGAAAGGTCCTATCCTGCCTGGCTGCTTGTTAGCCAGGATGGCTCTGGGCACAGGGTGCATCTCAGCCCTACCATGAGCTATGCTCCCCTCTTGGTCACAGCGAGTCCCCTGCCAAGGATCTGAGGAGGGAAGACCCACCTGCGTTTCCTCCACCATCTTGCAGCATCTGGGCCTGTTTCTGCTCCGCATTGAACTGCTTCTGAATCAGCAAAGGGCTGCGCACATCCACCATGCTGCATGCCACATCCTCATTCACATAACCTGCCAGAGCCCGGCACTTATCCTCCTTGAGCGCATCTCCAGCCAGCGGTCCGTCCCCCTGGCCCTCTCTGGCCACCCCTGCTGGTGGAGGGGAGCAGTCAATGGAGACAAAGGAAACCTCTTCCGGCTCATTCCTGCCAGCGTTGGGGCTCTCGGCAGATGTTGGCTCTTCCCTTGGTGCTGATCGGCCCGTCACCAGGGCTCTGCTACCAGCCCCAGAGCTCAGGTGATTCATGTTCCCAAAATACCCGTTGTTCACACAGACTGGCTGCTGCTGGCGACTGGGCCAGCTCTGGGTCTGCTCACTGGGCATATCCAGCTCTACAAGCCCTGCTTGTCCTGCTGGCACCTCCCTATGATCCTGCTGGCTTTCCAGGGGAGGTAGGCTGATGTTTCCAGGGTCACTGCTTCTGTAGGAGGCCTGCATGTCCCCCACTGATATGTTTCTCACCTGCTGGGGACTGACAACCTGCTGTGGAGGGGCTGGAGTGCACTCTGGGACCTGCAAAAAAGGGCAAGATTAGATCGCAACATCGGTGCTATTTGCACCTTGCTTGGGCACGGGGCTCCTTGGGACGGGGTCTGGCCAACACCCTTTTCCCTTCTTCACTGACTGACAGGCAACGATCCTAGGGACCCTCCAAAGTGCTGCCCACTGCAAGTTCTTCCTGCCCCATGCTGCCCAGGTACCTCAGCCCTTCTCCAGAAACAAGGCAGCTTGGAGGCAGAGAGGATAACTATACAAATGAGTTCAGGAGAGATGCCACAGTAGACGTGGAGAGAAAGGGCATGTCTCCACCGCCACGACAGCAAGTTTCCACACGGACACCATGAGCATGCCTCGCATACCCGCTCCCAAAGCTCCAGCGAGGCAGCTCCTGGGTGTCTCTCCAACACCTCAGTCTCAGGCATCCTCTTAAGAGCAGCCAGGTGGGTTTGGGACATGCCTGATGGCTCTCGCTGACCTCCCTGGCCCCAGAGGTGCATGCATGAGAGACCACCTTCTAACTGAGGGAACCGGCATGGGCCGAGAGTGTTTGGCGCATGCCCCAAAGGATACCCTGCACACCTGTTCCTACCATGGAGAACTGGAGACAAGGGCAACTTTAGAGAAACCAGGGGAAAAGAAGCCAGCTGGCTGGGCTGGGCATCAGGGAGCAGCATCTCCAACCCACATGCCCCCCCTGAAAACAGGAGACTTCCAGCCAGACAAAGCCAGAGGGAATCCAGCCCCACATGCACCATACAATTCAGTGGGGAAGTCAGGCCCAAATCCAGACCAAGGGGCAAGTCCGTGAGCAGCAGACCTTCTCCGGCGTCTCCACCTTCAGATCCCTGCAGCTCTCTGCAGCACTGTTAGTGGCCATGACAGACGGAGGGCAAGATGCAGGTGTCACTGGCTTCCTGGGCAGTGGAGAGGCGATGCCAGGCCCACGAGAGCCAGGGCTCTCAGCGGGTGGGGGGGTCCGGCTGCACGCCAATGAGGAGCTGGACGGGGATCCGGTCGTCTGATGAAAGGATGGAACAGCAGGACCTGAAAGGAGAGCGAACACTCGCATGTGGGCAGGGGCAGGGAACACAGAAGCAAACAGGAGGCCTGTGCAGGCAGGGGCAAAGGCAAGGCTGGTGCAGCCTTGAGCAGAAGAGCACCAACCTGCTGGGAGCAAGGCCTGCACTGGCCATGGATGTGCTGACACTGGGAAAGGCCCCTGCCCATAGAAAGAGGGGTGCATGCTCCCAGCAGCTCTATCAAGTCAGACAGTGACTGGCAGGAACAGCCAGTGCAGAGACAAGGGGACATGTGGGCCCTAGGGACTACCCTGAGACCCACAAACTCATCTCAGGCAGGCTCCAGCCAGCTCCTGACACAACACACCGTGGGATCAAACACACCCTTAGGCAGGGCAACCCAACAGGCCCAGAAACCACATCAGAAAAGCCAGGACCTACTGCCTGCTAGTGGCAGCCTGTGCCCTGCCACATCCCTGCTCAGCCAGCTTGCCTGCCTTTCCACCCAGCTTCCTCAAAGGGGCAGGGCTGGGAGGAGAGGTCCCTTCCAACCCTACTTTTCTGGGAATCTAAGAAACAGGCTAAACACTGGGATTCATCAGCCTCGGGGGCGGGAAGGAAGGACGATTCAGGCTTCAGTCCTGACCTCTCCAAGTACTTTCCTTACACAGGCTCCCCTTGCCAGACGGGGACCATTGCAGAAAGGGAGGCAGCATCCCAGTGCAGGGGAAAGCAACAGCCTGGGCTCAGCAGAAGGCTGGCCTAGCAGTGCCAACACCCGCCCAGGATGTTTGGTGCCGTTCTCCTCCTCCCTGCTGTACCACCGACTTCCTGTGCATCCCCAGGCACGCTGGTCAGGGACAGGATTTCCAGGGGGTTCATCCACCCCCGGCAGGAATGAAACCCACACCCCTGTAGACCCACCCAAGTGCTGATCCCACGTACATGCACCCAAATCCCTCTGGGAAAAGAGTACTTCCCTGCTTCACTGAACCACAGAACGGGCAGGTTGGAAGGGACCTAGGGAAGCCCTCGTATGCCACCCCCTGGGTCCAGTCTAAGTGGGATCAGCCCCGTCTAAGCCCGCCCAGCCACGCATGCATAACCTGCTCTTAAACACCCCCAGCAACGGAGCCAGCGCAGAGCAGCCTCTCTCAGCACACAGAGAATAACCAGGGTTTATCCTCCAATGTCCCCATGCCAGGGGAAGGGTCACACTCTAGTTATGTATGCTCTCCCTTTAAAGCGCCCACCCCAGCCTGCCATTGGAGGCAGTGGGCCTCAGCCCACCAGGAATAACAAGCTTCTGCCATGGCTAGAGAAAAGCCACAAGGTGCCCAGCACCTGAGTGCTGGGGACAACAAATTGCAGAACAGGAACAGAAATGCAGGTGATTGGGTCATAACCAGGCTGCCAAGGAAGTCTCCATGCAGCACCCACCCCCCCTTGAATGCACCTAAGGAGCCAGACGATGCCATCCAGTGAAACTCTACTTGGAGACGTGTACAGACAAGGGAAAGGACGACAGACCTCCCCCTGGCCAGCACCTCCTTCCTGGTCAGGTAGATGGATGCTGGCCAGGACCTGGGCCAGAAGGAGCTTGGCCAGAAGGTCCAGATGCTGGGCTAGGTGGAGTAACCACTGGCATGACCCAGTACGGTCCTGCTTTTTGCGTGCGCATGGAAGACAGTATGTGAAGGACTGTGGGGACTGCACATCCCCCCGTGGTACCAGAGTCCATGCACGCCTCTTGGAGGCCCAGGGGTCAAGGACAGCCTGCAGAAAGGCACCACGGGGCCACTTACAAACTTGCACCGCCTCGTACACCCGCTGCACCTCCTCTCCCAGTGCCCAAAAGTCAGCATGATGGAGGGCGTCGATGAAGACTTCCACCCATCCCTGCCGGCGCCTCAGGAAGTCGATGAAGTCCCACACGGCGACGTGGTTCCCCTTGCTGTTCAACACGGCTCGAATTTCCTCCTGTCCAACAGGACAAAGCAGAGGAGCAGGGGGTCTGTCAGTCACTGGAGAAGGCTGGGCAGGGCTCTGGGAGCAGCTAAGCAATCCAGAGAGAACAGCCCGGAGACAGAAATAAAACTTACCACATCTGGAACAGAGAGGGATGCTGACACGAAGGGAAGCATCTGTTCCACGCGGATGACGTGGAACTTGGACATGTTTCGCTTAATGTACTTATAAACCTCATCCTCGGCGAACGTCATCTTCCTTCAAATCCTAGGGAAAAAAAAGACCCAATGAATGTAACTTCCCCCCAACTCGCCCCTCCCCATGGCAGGGCTCACGTGCTTTCCTATTGCAGGCTGGGACCTCCTTCAAATGGATTGTCTCAGCACAGAATAAACCTACCGCCCTTGCAGAGAGCAGTTTTCGGCCTAATAATAATTAGAATGGCTCAAAGTATTTTATTAGGGTAGAAATAGAGAAATACCCAGGAGGAACTTTCTGACCAGGGGGGTGGTCAAGCATTGAACAGGATGCCTAGAGAAGCGACGGGCTCTCCACCCTGGGAAGTTTACAAGAGCAGGTTAGACAAACACTGGACAGGGAATTTTAGTTCAGGGTGATCCCGTCTTGAGCAGGGCGTTGGACTAGAAGACCTCCCAAGGTACTTTCCAGCCCTACTTTCCTACGATTCCTGTGAGCCCTGTCACAAAGCTGCAAGGCACGGCACTAGAGGTGCACCAATATCATTGCCCATTGGATCGGCACCAAAAAAAGGGGAAATGACATTTGTCATATTGAATGAAATAGTTTGAACGTTTGTAAAGGTTGCCCATTAGCCAGTTTCAGGAAGAAGATAAGATTTATCTCCTTATCTAAGTCATTGTTTTTGGACTACGTGCAAAAGGTCCTGACTTTGCTTTAAAGTCTTAATTTGAATTTTATCTTTAGAAGTCCTTTACAAAGAGCAAATATCCTGAGTTCCGAGAGATCAAACCCTAAGGCCTTTTGACCAGATTGGTAAGAAAAGGGCATTTGCAGTGATATGGAAGTTTCCCAAAGGTAATTTAAAATGATTAACAAAGGAAACTAATTACTAAGCAAAAGAATCTGTTGAGTAAGATCCAAGCCCAAATTTGGGGGTAATGACAGGTTTGAGTAGGAGGAGCCCATTGACGGCAGCTCACTCAATAAAAACTGTAACTTACTGTCCCAATTTGGAGGTGACTATACTTGCAGAACAACGAAGGAAGAATCGCAAGTGTAGGCCGGATCAGACTGATCACCTGAACCACCCTCTCCGTGAACACGAATCTCTTAGTTCACGCTGAAGCCGCGGAGCACCTGAAAGGGACTGAAGGAAGGGGACTTAGTCCTACCACTGCTGAGGCCAGCCTATTGAATCGTATTGCTGAGGTGAGCCCATTGAACCGTACTACTGAGGCCAACCCATTAAATTGTACTACTGAGGAATGAAACCATATTTTGGTATTTGGCTTCTCGGAATTCTAGGATTGTAAGTATAATATGAAAAATAATAGTATTGATTCAAATTTAACTTTTAGTTGCAATTGTAGTTGTTTTTGTAACACTACTTCTTATAGCATTGTTTGGGAAGGAAGTAGATTCGGAGCATTGTTTCTGATATATGTAGTTATTGTGTTCTTAATGTTTGTGGTATTTCTTAAAGCTAAGCAGTGTTATATTCTATTCCATAACCCACTAGAGACAACATTATTGGCTATTGGCTTTTTTTGGCCGCCGTAGTCAATAAAGTTTACCGATAATTATGTCTTCTGGCCAGGGCCCTGGACACCTGGGCTCCCTCTTCCCCACACAGCTGGCGTCTCTGGATGCCTGGATTCCCTTGAGAAACAGCGGGTTTCCTCTTGCAGGTGGGTGGCAATCTAGCCTGGAAGGGGTCCTGCTCGGGGCTGAAGGGAGCGAGATGCAGGGGGCACCGCGTGCATGTGTGTGGCCGCATGCATGCATGCATGTGGCCAGGAAAGCACCCGTGCAGCATGGAGAGCAGCTCCCTGCAGGTAAGTCTATGGAGGGGACAGGGCATGGAGGAGAGAAGGGATATGTGGGGGGAAGAGTGAGCTCCCCACAGTGAGGGAGGGAGTGGGGCTGGGGGTACTGCCCAGCCAGGGCAGTGCATGGGACCCAGGGTTGGGGCGGGGAGCAGGATGGATCCATGGGAGGCTTGTCCAGGGGGCATGGGGAAGGCAGCTCCCCACTACTGCATGTACCCCCCAGAAGAGGCACATCCCCCCACCCCCCAGATTTGTGCGCAGGGCAGATGTGGGCTGCTCACTGTGGGCTCGGGGCTCTCTGCTCTGCTGCTTTTTCCTTGAGAGCCAATTGTGCATCCCATCCCCACCTGGCAGCAGTGGGGGTGGCAACTTGTGCTCCCTGCTGCCTGGCAGGCAGGGGGCAACTGGCCAGTGCAGGGCTCCCGGGGCAAAGGCAGCAGAGCAAAGAGCCCTGAGCTCACAGCAAGCAGCCTGCATCCGTCTTTGCCCGGCTCAGCTCTGCTCTGCTTAAAAGCATCCCCGCGCTTAAAAATGGTGGTCTCGATGCCTGAACTAAAGCTCATTTGACAAGCTTTAGTTCAAGGGCACCCGCCGCCATTTTTAAGTGCTGGGATGCTGACACACGTGATGCAGGAAGCTGCTGGAGGACACTCCCCCCAAAAAATTGTATTCATGTAAAGGCATTTTAAAGTAAATCGGTTATCAGGTCAGCATTGGCTGATGTGATTGGTTAATAATTGGCTATTGGTACCAGCCAAGAAAATCTTTATTGATGCACCACTGCATAGCATCCTTATCTGCCATAGGCAAAGTACGGGCGACAATAGTGACCAACGTCCCGACGCTGCGAAGGTTGTTAATGTACGCCTAAGAGATCCCAGGAAGAGGACCATGCCCTCCACTACATAGGAAGGCAAACTCCGCCACAGTCTGTACTTATCTGCCCATGGGGGGAAATCCCTTCCTGACCCCAAATCTGGCGATCAGTCTGACCCGGAGCAGAGAAGCTGCCCCCACCCCCAGTGGGAAACAGCTGCCTGCAACCAGCACTTGCCTGCCACTGCTTCTGGCGTGCAGGCTAGGAGTGGGTGCAAGCTGCGGGGCTGTGTCGTGCCGTAGGAGCAGGGCAGAGAGGTAGAAGTAGATTCATAGACGTTAGGGTCGGAAGGGACCTCAACAGATCATCGAGTCTGACCCCCTGCATAGGCAGGACAGAGTGCTGGGTCTAGATGACCCCAGCTAGATACTCATCTAACCTCCTCTTGAAGACCCCCAGGGTAGGGGAGAGCACCACCTCCCTTGGGAGTCCATTCCAGACCTTGGCCACTCGAACTGTGAAGAAGTTCCTCCTTGTCACAACCCAAAGTTGTGGTTTTTTGTTTGTGTGTGCTTCGGCACCGCTAAATTATGTTCCCGCTAAACTGCAGCTCCTTTGCACAGTGGAGTGTTCTGCTGCAATAGGAGAACCCGCGTGTAAAAGAGTATTTCCCGCTGTTTGTAGCCTTCTTTGCATGGTGCATTTCTTTTGCATCATGGTGATGCACGGTGCAAAGGAGTTCCCGCCATTTGTATTTAGATTCGTGCCACATTATCGGCCGGTTCTAAATTATGCATACGTGGCGGCTAGCTATTGGCTTGCTAGCCGTATAAAGAACTTGGGTGGTTTCCGCCCAAGTCGGAGAGGAAGCGATGGGAGAGGAGAGAAAGCAATTGGAGTCCGAGAGGGAGAGCGTGAAGATCTCTAAGCGCTGCGGATCCTTACAAACCCAACGCATTTCTTAAGAAGGCAACAGAGGTCTAAACAGCATCTGGCCTCTCCCCGTCGCCGAGCGCAATCCTAGACGTATCCCTATCCTATATACCCAATTTTCGAACCCACGGAGTCTTAACAGCTCCGGGGGACCTGGGAACCGAACAGAACCCACGGAGATTCAGCTACTCCGTGAGGAAAGAATTGCCGAACCCGCGGAGCCTAAACCACTCCGGGGTCAAAGAACCAAGTTTGTCAGAGTCCTCCAATAAGGATTCAAGCGGAACTGCGCCTGGAAAGCTGTCCAGCCTACACCGCGACCACCTTGGGTGTAAGTAAATAATCTTTTCAATCAACCATTACGCCTCCGTAACTGATTCTAGCTCGTGCGTACCTTACCGCCCCGCGGTTTTCTCCGGCCCCGCGT